AGAGCAAGAGCACCTGCAGCCTCAGTGGCCTCCGAAGAAGTAAGAGCTGCAGTGAGCCCAGTGCAATTGTGGCTATTGGTGCCAGCAAGGTGGGATATTTTGTCCAGTGCCATTTGTTATATCTTGTCCAATCTTTCCTTAACCCTGGGCTTGCACCCCTAGCTTGTACTGAACTATTCCTGGCTTGAGACCTTCTCTCTTATCCTGTATTAAGCTACCTCTGCCTATCTAAGCAAAGCAATAAAACTGACTGCAAACCAGCACAGTGTCCTGGTGTATTGCTGCACCATTCTGAGCTAGCACAAAGGACCTCAGTGTCCATCTCATGCATGACACAGAGCCACATGGCCCTGCGGTGCTGTGTCCTGGAGGCATGCAGCCCAAGGTGAATCGATGTGTCCCTGCAGGCAGGGATGTGACATCCAATGTCTTCAGTGAGGGTGGATGCTGGGATTGGCTGCGAAGTTGGATTGGTTGCGATGGCATGATGGCCTCTGAGCAGCTACCTGGCAGCATGCATCTACTCCAGACACTGTGCATGTCTGCTGTAAAAAGAATCAAGAGCTCTGAATGCTCAGTGGGAGGGATTTGTCTTATTTATCCTCACTTATTAAAAAAATAAATAAAGGGGGAGATGCGGAACACAATATGAAAATGGAAAATCCCTATTAGCTACTGAATGATCCGAGAGGAGCTGAGGGATATTAATCCTCATTATTCACATACACACGGTCCCAGTAACACCTGGGAGGCTGAGTGCAAAAAGCTGACACGCAATCCATGCACACGTGGACCTGGCCTCAGCCTCGGGAATTTCGGGTACCAGCTCCGGATGTGCACGTAGGGATGTGGGTGATTGTGGGTGCAAGCAGCCCACTGAAGTCAGAGGGGTTATTATGGGTTTGGATGTGCCGGACCACCAGGATTCCGCATCCCGCAGGGAGGTGATGCTCAGCCTGTTTTTCCCCATATTATCTTTTGCCGGCGACCTATCAGCCAAATCAGTGGATGATAAATGCACCCGCACCTCCTGCTCTGTGGCCGGTGACAAGCAGAACACAGAGACCTCACCGGGAAACAGAACGTCAATGCTCCGGGACACACCGGAATTTCACAATTTGCTGTGTGCTGAATCAGAACCAAAAAAAAAAGCAGCATTTGAAGATCATCTCTAAAAAGACACATTTTGAAAATGATTTGGTCTATAAGCACTGATGTCACAGTTAAATGCGCCGGACACAAAATGCACCACTCTGCTCTTGTGATGATAAAACACGTTGGAGAAAGCAGACCCTGACCCACCTTAATGGCAGCTGCGAGTGTTGTCAAAATGAAATGGGACAGACTAGATTTAAGTTCCATCACAAATCCATCAAAACTCCCATTCCATCTGAGATATTCCTCAGAACATTTTCTTTTCCAGAAAATGGCATTTTTCTTGCAAAACAGCTCTTAGTTAAGGATTGTTGAAGAGCTCTTTGCTACTTACTGGCCCCGCTTCAGTTCTCCCATTACCAGACTCCTCAGTCCATCAACTACAGCCTTTTGCAGCACCAGTAAAAAAACGACCCACAATTTCTGTTAATGGTGTGATAATTATACACTATTTCGAGTTATTCTACTTTTGGAGTGTTGTATTTTAAGTTGGGGGGAGGTTTTTTTTTGGTTCATTTTAAGAACATTACAGCAGAGTGAAAATTACCCTGAAGACACAAGGACCTGTTTAAGACACCTGCAAGGCTGGGAGGTGACAGACGTCTCTTATGTGCCCCATGAGGAGCCCAGTTCTTCTGAGACTAAATCATAGAATCAATGGATGATCCTATTAAACAAAGGGCAATCCCAATGATCTCTGGATGGTCCTATTAAATAATGGGCAATCCCAATGATCATTGGATGATCTCACTGATTGACAGATGATCCAAACACCAATGGATGATGCCACTGACGGATGACCCCGATGACCAATGGGTGATCTCAACAACCAAATGAGGCTTGGCCACCCTATACGAACACAGACAGCGATTCACACAGAACTGGATGGAGAGAGGAGAATGGAGCCCACCCTGCTGGGTAACAGCATTGAAAAATTGACCCAAAGCCCCCTTTGAGAGCCCCTTCTCAAGCCTTTGGAGAACAAAGTTTGGTGCTGCTTCTATGGACCTCTGCCTCTACTAAACCCTGAAATCTGCCCGGTGCCTCCCGATGTCCCCAACCCCTGCGGGGATTGCAGACTGTTATAGGACACTGTGTGTACAAGCTCCAGCCACACTGTAATGCTCTAATTTTAATAATAACTGCAATCTACCATAAAATTACAGTTTCCCAAGGGTATCATTATCCCGCAGGTGGGGTATAATTTACACCAGTATAATTTAATCCTGAAAAAAAGCTCAAAAATGAAGCACGGTTAGTAACAATCCTCTGTGAGCACTTGTATGAGTATCCCCAAGGTGTTACCAGCACTAATTAATTAGACTCCTACACCCAGTATGTTCTTACCATCAGATGGGACAGATGAGCAGCTCAGTCAAGGCTGTGTGGCAAGTTCCTGCTCCGGAGCTGCCCGCAATGTCTCCGTCATGTCATGCAGCTTAGCTCCAACACAGAGCCCAGGTGGCATAGCCAAAGCTTTCCTTGTATGCTCCCTGCATGGGGAGAGTTTGGGAGCAATAAAGGAACCCATTGGTCTCTAATTCATTTATACTTGCATTAAAGGAAAAAAAAAAAGGGGGGGGAAATTAGAGAGGCAATTACAGCAAAAGTTGCCTAGAGCGACCAGATTCAACATGAATCGAGCTCCCAGCCGAGACGTTTCCACTTTTAGTTTTAATTAAAGATCAAGAAAAGTTGGAATGAAATCTGCTCACGGAAAAGAGTTAACATGAAAACATGTTGTATCATCATTTTTCTCAATGAAAAGTCGTTGAACGTTGAATAGGCGTTTTCTGGTTAAGAAGTCCGTTTTGCAGATTTTACTGTTCACAAATTTTTGTTGGTTTAGGTTTTGTTTTGTTTTGTTTTTTGTTTTTTGTTTTTTTTTCCAACCAAAATCTGGATAATACAATGAAAGGCTCCTCAGTAAGAAGTTATCGAGGAGAAAAAATATATATATGTATTTCAGCACATGCTACAAGATCACTACAACAGCAAAGATCTCCTGCAGGATTTGGAGATCTCTCTGCTGCCCACCTACATTTCACTTCTGTAGTTCTTGGGGCTTCTTCCATCCCTCCTCCATGAGCAAAACCCAAAGCCAAACTGCTAGACCCCAGCCCCAAGGATCTGCAAAACGGTGGGCAGGTCCCCAAATCTGCTTACAACACCCTCCCAGGTTCACTCTGGTGCTATTTTTATGTGCACGTATTATGCGTACATAAATGCATACCTATGAAGATACATGTTCATAAAAAAAATACATCCTCCCATTAATGTATATATATACTTTATAGGCAGTCTAGATTTTTTTTTTTTTTTTTTTTTTAAATCTGAAATACAATCAGCCCGTAAAATAACTTTACAGTCCGGATTAGGCGGAACCAGCAGATGCCTGAATTGCCACATGGCAACTGCTATTTCTGGGTTAAAATGATAGGTAATGGGATGATAAGTTAAATAACCCGTTTGAGGACATGAAGGTGCAGCTGGGTTTGGCCAAAGATGAATCAGGACAATGTCCACAAAGGGTGGCTCCTTTCTGCTCCTCCACCAAGGACCCTATAAAAGCGCTCGGGTCCTCCGATCACTCTGCACGGCTTCACAGGAATCCCATTCGATCCCGTTGGTGACTTGGGTAAGTCGTTCCTTCTGAAAAGCATGCTTTGCTGGCTGAAAATGAATGATTTCTGTAGGATCTGGCTAGGGTGGCAATGACGTTTCTGTTGCAGTATTTTCCGGGCGTCTTTCGGGTTTGTCTTCAATGAAATGTTATTTTTCACCACTTGGACAGCTGCGTGCTCTTTGTTGTGTGTTGTGTGGAAAGGCAGTTTTCCTCTAAACAAAAAGGAGAGACGGAGCCAGGTCTGGCGCCTCGCTTTGGTCTGCACTCATCTCCCACCCAGGGTGAAAAGATTGAAGAAGTGTTTGGTTTTCCATAAAAATAGCAAGACAGAGGTTTTGCATGCAGAGGTGCGTGCACGTGTTCATGCATGTGTGCACTCTGCAAGCAGGCAGGGAGCAGCTTCCCCAGCTGCAAGCCGAGATCCTGGCACCAATGCAGCCGATAACAGGCTTGGGGATCCTGCAAGGAGCATGGTGGTGGCATTTGAGGTTTCCAGACACAAAGCTCAAGCAGGAGCACTGCTTTCTGCCCAGGAGATTGCCATTAAATTCAAAAAAGTATTTCTGACCTGGGTGATCTGACTGTTCTCTTTGGCCAAAATCTGTTGGACAACAAGCTGGTGCTGTAACATGAGATTCATCTCTTGATTTGCATTGCTGCCGGTCACAGGGTTTCTTTAACCCTCTAAACAAGCGAATGCTTGTGAATGCTCTATCCACCTCTGCCCAAGCTGGGTCTTCTCTCAGAATGCGCCAGCACTGCCTTAGACATCCTCTGACCTCTCCAGAGGAGCTGGTGTATCTCAATGCCAAGCAGAAAGAGCTGCGTTGGTTCTAGAAACTGAAGGAGCTGGTAGAGCCCACAGGGACAGGTTCTTGGGGTATCTCTTGAGTCACCATCCCCAATCCCCTCCCTGCAACCCAAAAATGCTGGCATCATGCCATCCCATACCAAACGTCATTCCAATACGTCAGCAGACAAGTTGGAGGACACTCCCCATCCCACCAAAACCCCTAAGCATTTGGATATCTTCCCAGTGCCCTGGTAAAGAACAGCTTGCCATGGTAGGGGAGCGGACACAAAGCTCAGAGCACCCAGACTCTCATTAGTGTGCACAGCTTGACCCCAGCAATCCTCCCCCTCTTCCATGCTCAGCCAAATAATCTCCCACCCTTAGGTCTGCTACTTTTCTTGCAGGCTTGCTTGAATCTGCAGAAAGATGTCTCACTTCTTAGACAGCGTTTCCACCATCATTACTGTCTTTCACCAACACGCAAAGGAAGATGGAGACCAATCCAAACTCAACCGAAGGAAGATGAAGGAGTTCATCCAGAAGGAATTTGCAGATGCCATAGTGGTGAGTGCTGCAGTGATGGGCAAAGGTTGAGGACAAAATTGAAGTGTGGGGACCAGAAAAATTTCTGGAGAGGGAGTGATTCTTGTGACCAGAGGGAAGTGGGATACAGAGGCTTTTGCCAATGGGGCACAGCAGATGTGCATTTTGTACTGTCTGCAAAAGTTCTTTCTATAGATTTTGCTGTGAACAAATGGGAAAAATTGGAGAAAGAACGGTGAGTTAGTTTACTTTCAAAGATAGGAAAGAAATGCATTTGGAGGAGGGATATGGCATCACCAAATGTTTAGCTGTTGCCAGGGAACCACCACCAGGAAAATGGAGAACACAGCCATGGAGGGGATGCTGAGAGAACCTAAGAGAGATGCAAGTAGAAGAGATTGTCATGATCGCTGGGTTTGCATTTCCTGACAAGGAGCAGCAAGGCTTTTTGTTTCTCTTTGTGTGTTTTTTCTACAGAACCCACATGACCCTCAGACAATTGACAAGATTCTGCAGTTTCTGGAGTGGGATGGGGATGGAGAAATCGATTTTAATGAGTTCCTGCTTTTAGTATTCAGAGTGGCTAAGGCCTGCTACTGGTACCAGCAGAAGGGACGATGCCTTCTGCAAAGAACAAAGCTGATAACCAGCAGCAAGACAGTCCAAGAGCCTGAAATTAGGAGCAGAGGGAGCTGTCAGCAGTTCCAGGAAGAGGAATCACGAACACTTGAACGCAATCGCCATCCCCCCTGCATACCTGAGCCACGACGAGACACCAGGGCCCAGGATCTTGAGACACAAGAGGAGACGGGAAGTCATCGCCAGCAACGTAACACACAAACTAGAGCTGATGCAAGACAAAGCACCAGGCCAAGGGAAATGACCCCTCAGGAATATGAAGAACAAAACCAAGAGCCATGCAACCAACGAAGCAGCCGAAGACATCAGCCACCCGAGCTGGACAGACTGGGAGATTTACAAAACCACAAGCGCGGCAGCTTGAAGACAGCACAGAGAGATGAAAGACAAAATCAAGAGAAGCCTCAACGAGAGCAACTAGCAGACGTGAGGAGCTGCAGCCATTCCTGTGAACCACAGTTGCTGCCAGACCGGCGGAGTGGCCGTCAGCCACGTGAATCAACATTGCCAGTGTATGATCAAAGAAACCATCGACCACAAGATCAAGAGGCAGTGGCACATGGGAGAAGCAGCCGTCGGCCACATGAGCCAGAAGAAGCAGATAGAGGAACGCGCAATCAAATGCAAAAGCCTGAATTACTAAAAGAAGAGAGAAGCCGCAACCACCTACGTGAGCTGGAACAAAAAGAACTTGAAAGAAGCAGCCGCCAGCCGTGCAAGTCTGAATACATGGATTCAGAAAGGCTGCATCAGTCATACCTCCAGGAACCGCTAGTAATAGACCGCAGATACAATAACACAAGGGAGCTAGAAGAAGAAAACTATGAACAAGGGAAAACACAGAAGGGCAGGAGATCACATGAACCCACAACATATGAAAGGACAAGAGAAGACATTGTGGCAGAAGCTGAAGCTGACATAGAGATCCAACATGTGATACGAAATAGGGAGAGAGAAGTAAGGAGACCCCGTGAATCCATAAGGAACGAACGGATAAGGGAGGACATTCTGGCTGAAGCTGAAGCTGATGTGGAGATCCGCCGTGTTTCCCGGGAACGGGAGAGACAAGAAGAAGCAAGGAGACCCCGTGAATCCATAAGGAACGAACGGATAAGGGAGGACATTGTAGCTGAAGCTGAAGCTGATGTGGAGATCCGACGTGTGACACAAGAAAGGAACAGAGAACAGGATAGCAGACCCCGTGAATCCGTGAGGTCCGCGAAGACACGGGACGAAATTGTAGCTGAAGCTGAAGCTGATGTGGAGATCCGCCGTGTTTCCCGGGAACGGGAGAGACAAGAGGAAGCCAGGAGACCCCGTGAAT